AGGACTATCTGTATGTAAAAGACAATGAAGATGACATTATAATGCATAGTATACAATAATGTAATTATATGAGTTTATAGGATTTATCAGATATGACGCTAAAGTTCCATCCCGTTGGTAGAGAAGGAAATCCATAATGCAAAGCTGTGATAAACACGGTACGGTAATATTTTAATAAATAGGAACCTCAAACTTCAATTATAAACTAGTATACTTGCCAAATTATCAGTAATTGTGTACTTACTCATAATTTGGCAAGTATAATGGTTTATAATATTGCATCACTTAGTTGCTATTTTAGGGGGAAAAAACTGCCTACTGTAATTAAATTGAACAGCCAAAAATTCCAAAAGCATATTTCTTCCACATTCAGATAAGGTTATATATCATACAATAATCATTTTTGCTCAGAGTATATAGATAATACAGAAATTTGAATGACATCTTTACATCATTTTAAAAATAATTAATTTAAGGATAAAGTATATTTAAATAAAGTATATGAAAAGTGCATTTCAGTTTAAATTTGAGTACTTTTCCTACATTGATACAATAGTGAATGAGAGAGAGTGTTGTCTCAGATTCATGACATGCACTGTTCCATAAATCTACTCCTTCTTTGAAGGGTTTCCCTTGGAGAAGCATTAAACAATCCATACATTGAACATGTATGAATCCCTCACTCCCTATACATCAAAATTTAAGATTCTTAAAGCTTCACAAGAAAATCCTTACATTAGCCTATCTGAATATGGGGTATAAAATTGGTTGATTTTTTTTAATGATCACTCTTTAAAAATTGTAAAAAGATGTATCAATATAGAATCCAATGTACAATCTAAGGTAGTTGTGATTACTAACAAGTGTGCAAAGATCTTAGTGACAGAATAGCTCCTCTACAGAAAAGAAAATCAATTTATTAATAGAAGTAAAATGAGCAAATGTTGAAAATATGTGGTCTATCTATCATATAAGATGAACGTTAGAACTTGACTCCAAATGCTGCATACAGAATTAAATATTCTATAGAGGTTTTATCTGATTCCCACTAAGCTACAGGTTATGCCAATTTAAATCTGTGATATGAAGAATATGAAGGAACATGCCACTTTCCATCCAGCTGAGAAAATAAATCAGATATTGTTAAGAATACAAATCATAATTTCAAAATTATTCTTTTTCATTAAAATTAATACTTAAGTATAAAACTTAAAAACTTAAAAATAATTATGGTTGTTTTTTAAATGATCACGCACTCTTGAAAATATCCTCTCAGCGTCCTCAGCAGTGAAGCAGATAAAGAGATTTTATAATTTTGAAATGAAATTGAACAGCTTTCAAATGATACTAGAGCTCATTTGTGCCAATTACTATTGTTCAAAATAAAAAAATGGAAGTATATCATCACATATATATTGGGATAATAAACAAATCACTATGCAGCATCTATTTTACTTTCTCCAAAGGATGTTTTTCGGTTCACAAGATATACCTTTTGACTGCAGGATAAATCATGTTCAATGTTATTTAATACTGTTGGGTTTTGTCAATGGGAATACTTCCTAAATTAAAGATGAAAACATTAGTCCAATTCTAAAATAATACCTAAAAGTTTCAAATCTAACTTTAAAATACACAATTATACAATTTCAAAAAAGTACCATATTTTTCAGAGTATAAGACAGATCCAATGCACCTAGCTTTTGAGGAGGAAAACACGGGGGGGGGGGGGAATCTGCCTCTGCCTCCCAGCAATTTGCCTCCTTGAAGCAAACAGCAAACAGCCTGGTGAGCTTCAGCACAGCCTGATTAGCACAAACAGCTGATTGTCGGTTGGATCGGCCTCCCGATGAACAGTTGTTTCAGGCTGCAGAGATCGCCATCGCCTATTGCCGCCTCCGTGCACCCCATTTTCCGCCCATTTCAATCCCCGCCGTGTGGAACGGGCTGAAAATGGGATGTGGAGGCTGAAAATGGGGTGCACAGAAGCGGCAATAGGCGATGGCGATCTCTGCAGCCTGAAGCAGCTGATTGTCAGGAGGCCAATCCAACTGACAATCAGCTACTTGTGCTTATCAGGCTGTGCTGAAGTTGAAACTGGCTGTTTGCTGCTTGCTGCAAGGAGACAAATTGCTAGGAAGCATAGGCCAGTGGGTGGGGGCCAGCGGGTGGGCAGGGCTTCGGCAACATTTGCTGTATAAGACGCACAGACATTTCCACCCACTTTGAGGGGGGGTGCATCTTATATACGAAAAAAAATATGGTAATTCTTGAGCTATACAGGTCTATTTTATTTCAAAGAACATGAAGTATATTTTAATACTAAGCAAGAAATAGTTTGGAATCAAATAATGAAATGCATTTTTGACAGATGCTACCTACATATCTGAGTTTTTATTTCTGGACAAAAGAACATACCCATTACTCTATAAATATAAGACAAATGAATTATCTAGAGACTCTGTAAAAAGTTTTTTGCAATTAATATGATAAAATCCATATAAAAATGCAGTAGAAAATTACACCGTTTAGAGTATGATACTTTAATAACAATCATAGACATAATTTTCTCCATCTGTATGAGTTTTCCTTTTTATGTCTTAAGACCTAGTACAATTTTTAGAGAAGATCCACACATCAGCATTTATGAATGTTTGAACACAAGCAAAAAGCATATTCCTGCATTACAAATCATAACTTTAAAATCTATGTTAAAACTTCTATACTATACTAAAAGTTATTTAAAAATGTATTGAGATGGACACATTTAATATGTGTCTCTCTTTAAGCAATGTTATTTTTGCTCATACCATGTACAATTCTCACAGGGCGGGAAATGATTTAAAGTTTCTCAAGAATGGATAAGGTCAGGTCAGGTCACTTATTTCAATTAGAAGCTCTAATTAAATTTCACTAAACTATCAGATACTAATTAGTCTATATGTAAGATGAATAGAATGCCTAATTCCTCATGACATATCCTATAGTTGTACAACCCTAATTTTTTTTTACATTGAGAAACTCCAACTTCCATTCATTTTTAATAATTTGTTAGCCATTTTAACCATTCTTTATTGGCTATATAATCAGTATTCATTAGCTGTATAAATTCCCATCTCTGCTGTTTTTTTTTACATAGTGTGGAATAGTGTGCTTTGAGCTAAAATGAAACTGCATTCATCATACCGTGATGGTTGATTAGTAAAAATCATTTGTCAACCATGCCTATATCTATCACTGTTATTTTTTACATTTTTCACATAGGTTTTAGAAGCATTATTCCTTTTTACTTTACCTGAATATTCCTGAAACAGAAAGCTTATTCATCTAATATGTTTGGAAATCTTTTATAGTTTACTCAAAGCAGTACACAACTATGAAAACTATTATATAAACAAACAGATGCCTGCCACATCTGCCTATTGGCATATGGCCTCCAGAAGAAGAAAAACAATCCTTTAGTTGTATTGATTCATTCCTGAAGCCATAATGCCTAATTAAATATTAACAATAAAGAAAATAACAATAAAAGTTGCAACCAAATACTGGGTACACTATTTGTACTCCCTCATCCTGGTTGATTCATGGGATCATCAGTTGGAAATGGCTATTTAGGCTACTGAGTCCAAATCTTTACTCAGATAAATCCATCAAGCATCAGCTTACTCTTTCAGTGCCAGCTTCTTTCAAATATTCAGTGGAATAAACCATTTTTTCCTGTTTTAACCCAAGAGGAGAGGAGAGGTGAGGTGAGGTGAGGTGAGGTGAGGTGAGGAGAGGTGAGACAGTTTGGTCTAGTGGTTAACGCACCAGGCTAGAAACCGGGAGACAGTGAGTACTAGTCCTTAGCCATGAAATCCACCTAAGTAGCATATGATCAGTCACATCTCTCAGCCCAATCCACCTCACAAGATGGCTGTGTTGTTGTGGGGAAAATTGATTCTCTTTCAGGAACTTCAGGTACAGCCCTCAGACTTTTATCAGGACTAATAATAAACAGTTCTCCATGCCTCTCTTTCTAGGACTTCAGAAAGTATTATGTCGTAGTTCTATGTACATTTCTCACAACTGCTGGCCTCAATATTGATGGAACATGCATTTGATAAAATTGTAAATCAATTTAACACATGGTACAAACTACTGGTCTACAAAGTGTTTAAAAATTAATTATTTTTTTTAAATCTGAAGTTCTTTATTTCAAGTTTGAACACAGTTGTTTCAAGTCTGTAATGAACTGTTTTGACCTTATTGGAAAATACTTTGTCTTGAAAAATTTTATTAAAGTGGTCTTACAATAAAGATAGTAATAGCAATAGCATTTAGACTTATATACCACCCCATAGTGCTTTACAGCCCTCTTTAAGTGGTTTACATATTTCCTCCAACAATCTGGGTCCTCATTTTATTGACCTCAGAAGGATGGAAAGCTGAGTCACCTTGAGCCAGTCAGGATCGAACTGCTGGCAGTCAGCAGAGTTAGCCTGTAATACTACATTCTAACTAATGCGTCACCATGGCTCTTTAATAGAACTAAGACTCTTGGTTATGCTTCTTGCCTGGACTACTTTGTAGGGCTAACAAATTCAAGATACTCTGGATAGTATATTGATGGAAAATTCGGGGCACCAATCTGTTTGACTAAAATTGACCTGCCATGTCTGCTGTGGATTACCCCTGCTGTGGATTATTCAGATAACTACTGCAGTGCAGATAAGAGAAGAAAACTCTTTGCTTCCATTTAGTGATCTTTAGCTTGATAGGTCAATAGTTCCTTGGAAAAGAACAGAAGAAAATGGTTTGGGGGATAGGCACCTGGAGCTTCCAAAAGCTACCCAAGCACACATTCTATACACCAATCAGCAGTAATTTTTTGCATGGTTGGTGACACTCAAATTTCAACATGGGAAATAGGCAATTACCATCTTTTTGGTATCTTGTGTTTTATATTGACAGCTCTGAGATGGAAGTAAAACATAGCAAAGCAGATATATGGATGCATCTTACATGTCACATTCCCCATGTCCTTTTCTGGCATGAACTATCGACTCAGGGTGACCAATTTGGCAGCCACTCTAAGAGTTCAAATATGAGGGGAAAAGGATAATGATCTCCAATAGTTACAGAGATCAGGATCTTGTAAGACAGCATCTTTTTTCTTAACAACAACAAATAAGGGAACTCATAGAGCAAGAACAAGGACAGATCAAACCCTATTCTAAATGGTCATCAGAACATTATTTTAAATAAGCCAACCCTGCTTGCAATGTTCTCCATGCCTCTCTTGATTTAGCTGGAATCAAAACACCAGGAATCATGATTTTGATTACAGTCACAAAATCAGTCTGTGTCTGTATCCAATACATGCCAAGTTGAAATTCCTTTCCAAACATACTCTGTATATTTGACAATCTCATACTCTGTGTGTTGGGGAAGGGGGGGGAGCAGACAGACTCAGGGATTTAAGTCCTCAGCCATTTTTCTCATGTCTTTTCAAATCAATGGATTCCTAGCCAAGCTCTGAAAATCAATATCAGTTCCACATTTATACAACAGCTATTTCTCATGCAAGTCATTTCAGCCTTAGGACATGGAAATCTGATCTGCCTGTGTTGTTATACCTGGTGGCAAAACTGGAGGGGTGGAAGTCCCAACTTGCCCTAATGCTGGTTGGCACATCTAGTAGTGATTTGAGATAGTACCAATGTCTGTTGGCATCTGAAACAGAGTGTGCCAAGCACTAACTTGATTTTCATTCAGCACTTGGTTAAGCGCTGGTTAAGATTTACATACTTTGTTGACATGCTTGATGACTAATTAATGGCCCACTGTAATCATTACACTCAAATTTATAATATGATTTTTTTTGTCTATCATTTTTTTAAAATGTTTTTAATTGGTGATTTTATATACCAATTCTGGGATAGTTTTCATTAAAGGTGAAAGGAGTATTAGGAATGTTGGAGTTATTTATAAATAAAGGCAGGATAAAAATTAAATAGTTGACTACAAAAGGAATTGATAAATGAATAGTTTTTTTTCAATTATTAGAAATATTAAATACAGAAATGTGAAACACTATGGAACTTAATGAAATAACTAAGGGCATTTAGCTATTTTAAGTTCAGAAGCCTGAGATGTAAGTCAATTATTCTTTATATTGTTCATCAGAACCAGTATTATAACAATTCCTTGCCAAAGTTGGTCAGAGCATCTAATTTTTAAATATTCTCCATAGGAAAATACAAGATACCGTACCTTAAAGAAATATAAGCAACAATACTTGCTGATTTTCTAATATTTTCCATATATCTGTTATTGTTTTTCCTCATGAAAAGAAACCAATGAAAGAAATATTTATTGTAAAAATCAAAATGCAAAACGTGTTTATGTTGTCCTATTAGATTAGAAGGTATTACCAAGAGTTATATTTTATATTGTGCATTTCAAAATAATTTCAGACTACATTATCAGTAGAGGAGCAGCTTTTCTATTTCTGGCTCAGGTTGTAAACAGATCTGTAAAAAAGTTCTGTGACTAACACCACGGGCAAATTGCTTCAGAAAATGATTCATTTATAGTGAATATGAGAGTTTACACACCATTATTTGCCAATTCATATTAGACATCTGGTACCCTGAATATGGGTTGTTATTACTCTTTGACTTGTCAGAAAGTTGCTATGATCTGTCTAAAACTGGGGGGAAAGGAAAGATTTTATTCATGTTTAATGTAGTAGTATACAATATTCTTAGTTGTAGTCCTACTGTATTCGTAAAGATCACATGGCTGAGCTCTGTATATGTGTGCCTGTGCATATTTTTTACAATTATTTCTGAATTATTCTGACATACATTTCACAACTAATACAACTCTTCCTTAACACCATTTCATTTCGTATCAGTTTATAGCACTGCATACCTCTATTTGACAGAGTTACATTATGTTTTTTCTTCAGATTTTCACATCCATTCATTCATTTATTTGCATTTAGAACTGTTTTTTTCCTGTATGCTACCTAGTCATATCCGTTATCCATGACAACTATGAAATACATTTTGTGAGTGCAATGCCCATCTGTGAGAAGCTTATATTATAGATTACATTAGATATACAAGATTGTGATAATGATTTTACCTGTCACTCACACAAACCAATTCTGCAGTGAAAATAAATTAACCTGAAGTTCTCATGTGGTGCTATTGAGTTTATTAAACATTCTGTAATTGTCTGCTCCTTATACAAAAGCCTGGATTTTAAAATGTCTAAAAACCAAGACAATTATTGAATTCAGTAAAAAGAAGACTTGCAGATACTTGACACTTCCTTAAAAATCTTCAGAGCTTGACAATGATTGTCAGTAGATACAGTGGCTTTTTCAGATCACTTAAGGCAGGTATTTTTGTCCATAAAAGAACAAACTTGAGTGATTACCTGTGCTTTCTTGGCAATCACTTCCACTGCAGCGCCACTTACTTGTGAATAAGCAAGTACAGAAACTGGGTGCAAGTTCCCAGTTTAAAAGTAACATGTAAAGAAACATGCATTATTTAACTTTTTTCTCCTAATTCAATACGTTTTTGTGGATTGTGCCAGTTACTTCCACATACCTCAACAAATAAATAAATAAACATTTCCACCTTATGCTATCGCAATTCGGATAGCTTTGTTCGGAAACACTTTGGTCCCTCAAGAATCAAATTGAAGCATTAAGGAACACCACTGGCTTCACCATATTGCCATCTCCTTTCCCGAATATTCCAAGGGAAATGCAAGGCAATGAAGCGGAACTGAGCCACTATGAGACTTACGACGTGCACCTGTATTCATCATGCTTAACTATTTTTCACATCAGAAATGGATTGTGCTGAAACTGGAATCCACAATCACTCTTTCGACTCCACACCGAAGAAAACGACACCAAAACCAACCCCACTGCCTAACTGCAAACAAACTTAAAAGAGCAAATCAAGTCAAGGTGGTGAGGAAAGCGAAACAAGTCCACTCTTGGCAGCGCGTTCTCCATCCAACCAGGAGAGTTAAGGGACAACAGGAGCAACGGCGGCGAGAAAACCCAGCAAAGCCAACAGGCCTTTTAAGGCGCAGCTACCTTACCTGGCTGGAATAAGGAGGCTTGCTGAGAGCGATCCCATCCCGGATGAGTTTATCCCTAATCATGATTTTCAGTCTGAGTTTGGGGTAAGTGATCAACTCCTTGGAGTTGAGTTCCGTTTTCCGCGGCGCCCCCCGAGAGTGACCCGGCGGGGGCGTCTGATGAGGTGGGTCCTTCCACGTCTTGGCTTGGCGCGTCTCCACCAGGCGGCTGGTGTAGATGTCGGGTCCCGGCGAGCCCCGCCGAGGGGGCTGCGGCTCCAAGGTGAAGTAGAGGCCGGCGGTGGTCTCGTCTTCCTCCTTCAGCCTCCGCACGGCTTCGTGGAGACGCCGCCTGTGCTGGGGCAGCGACACCCCGATGGCATCCAGGTCCGGCTCCCCGATTTGTTTGCACACCTCCAGGTCGTCATAGCCGTTATCCACAAAAGACTCGGCGTACTGGGTGAGTTTCAGGGTCTTCAACCATTCGTAAACGACGTTGGCGCACATGGTGGAAAGCAGCCCGGGAGGCCGGAGGGGGAGGAGGAGGAGGTGCGAAAGGCAACTTTTGCAAAACCCCGCAGCCCCGCCGGCAGAAAAAGGCAAAGCCCGGCAGCCAAATCCGGACGTGATGTAGGCATCGGCTGAGAGAGGAACGCCGAAACTCGCGTTGGGCGAAAACAGGCTTCCCCCCCTGCGCGGGAATGAAGACGGTTCAGTCCCGGCGCTTTGGGAGTCTCGAGTCTCGGGAGGCGCCAAGCACACCTTGCGGCGAGTCCCTCGGCTTCCTCAGTTGTGGGCGTCCCCGGCTGTCAGAAGGGGACTACGGCCTCCGTCCATCGCCCCCGCCCTCCCCTCCCGCGAGCTTCCCGCCTAGTCCCATCGTCAACTGTAAAACCGGCGACCGCCTGTCACGGCAACCTTTCGCGGCTCCTGCTATCTCTGGAGTCTGCTCTCCGGCTTGCGAGGCGTTTCTTTTCCAGCCCTCCTCGCCCGCGGTTGCCCCCTCAACGCAGCAGCGCTTTGCGCTCCGTGGGCTTGGCGCGCCTACATTTTAACCCAACCTCGTATTCACGCGGGGCGGGAGCAGACGCTCGCCTGCTTGCTTCTTCGGCAACAGCTTCCTCGGTGCCTGCCGGCGCTCGCTCGCTCGCCGGTCTGTGCCAAAAGCGAAGAACTCCACACACACCTCATCCGACAAGCCACCATATCATCCCCCGACCTTTATGTTCCAAGCCGCGTCCCTCGCCTCTCCTCATGTTCTTGAGGGGTGCAGAGAAACCTCTCGCCGTGTAGCTGGGAAAAGGCCGGAAAATCAAGTTTTCCGGCTCCCGCCTTTTTCTTTTTTTCCCCGTAGGCTGGAATTTGCACCTTTCGCCTCGCACCTTCCAGAGACCTGGCGCGCGTTAACGCCGGCCGCGGAGCCGAGGGCGGGAGGCGGCTCCCCTTATTTGTGTTGTGGGGGGGGAAGGTGCCTCTGAAAGTGCCGCCGTTATTTGGAGAGGAGAGCGCAGAGCAAATAGTAAATCCGCAGCCAATAGCAGCCTCTCCTTTCCACAGGATTAACCGCCGGCTAGAAAAAAAGGATCGAAGGGGGCTTTTCACCCGAGCAACAGCCTGTCCCGCTTCAAGGCCAGGAATTCCGGAATCTCTTTAGCCCCCGAATAGTGCCATATTGGAGCACGGGGAATAAGGAAGCGCGCATTCAACAGAAAGCAGCAGCTGTGCCTGTCTCATCTCTTTCTCACCTTCAATTGCCCGTTCATGCTTCATTAAACAAGTTGGATTGCACACACCCTAACATCAGAAGATGAGGAGCAGCCTCCACACAGATGCTGGCGCTTTCCTCCTTTAATCTTTTCCTTCAGGAATCCTCTGCAGCTCTTCCCTGAATGGTTTATCTTGTTCCCCACCCATCCGAATATATGTCTTGTGATAAACCATAGCAACAAAGTGTATACACTGGTGAGGTGGACTGAAAACATTAGCAGCCCTTTGATAAGGCCTTTACTTCCCAGGACAAATGAACAGATGATGATACCACAATTTATGGTAGCCCTTCCATTTTATTCATACAAGGAGGGCTGTGTGGTAGATTTACTGCTCATGAGAAAACACATATCAACTTACTTTCTCTGTGGCACCAACAATGTTCTAATCCAGCAGTCATTTGTGAAACTGTTAAGTCACAAGGATTATATCCAGGTACCCAAATCTTGTGTCATTCAACTCAGATTTGCCAGCAAAAACTGCTGTCTGTGTAAGAGATGCCTCCCTAATACTCTGGGCAACAGACATTTGTTTGAATTTATTAGCTGCCCAATTTCAATAAACTCCAATGGAAACCTATTTGTTTAGATATTTCAGGTCTATAATCCGGCCTCCTCTTTGTGGTCATTTAATCATTAGTGCTTTGTAGTGTGTACTAGTGTGACCTGACCTTTCTTGTGGCAAGCAATTGAAAGACTATTATAAATTTATCAGAACGGGGTAAGTTGGCTAACACAAGAAGATGCTAGAAATTGGTGGCAAGGAAAAAGCCTCTACAATAGGGATGTCCAACCTTGGCAAGTTTAATGCTTGTGGACTTCAATTCCCAGAATTCCCCATGTTGGCTGGAGAATTCTGGGAGTTGAAGTCCATGAGTCTGAAAGATTGTTAAGATTGTTTCTACAATGTTACAAAGAGCTAGAAGTTTATGCCTATCCCAACTGGTGGGACAGCACAGATGACCATAGTAAGAATAATAAGCCAATCTTCTCTTCTAGCTTCCCAGAAAATGGGCAAGGAAACCCAAAGAGATGCAGCCTTTGCCCATTTTTGTCATGCCTCAGAAATGGAAACATTCAGAGGAAAATATCCAGATATGCAGAGGCTTGGACTTTACTGGCTGGTGGTTCTTTCTCACCTTGCCTTGATAAATCTCGCTTGCAGGAGCAAAGAAGGAAAAGGGAGAGGAAATTGTGACTCTTGTAGAACTCTACAACTCCACTTCTGCACCAATATTTCTCAACTTTGGCAACTTCGAGGACTTCAACTCCCAACATCCCCCACCAAGCATTGCTGGGAGTTGAAGTCCCCACATTTTAAAATTGTCAAGGTTAAGAAACACTGTTCTATAGATATATCATTCATACTTCATCCGAGTATAGCTTTTATTTTTGGATCAAGAAAAACCATCAGTTTCAGGTACATATCACAAAGGTAAGAGGCAACTGAACTTTCTGGTTTTTCTTTGCTTCTCATCCAAGAAGTTTCTTTCTAAAGAGCTGAAGAAGCTTCTTGGATGAGAAGCAAAAGGTCTTCAAATAAAAAACAGAAAGCCCAGTTGCCTCTTGAAAAAGCCACTTTTTGGGACAACCGTGACAGGGATGACCTGAGAAGTGCCATCGACTTTCAGGTACAGATTTCCTTGACTGTTGAAGCTGGCTGTGGTGGGAGAGAGACGCAGTTGGTTCCCGAAGAGCAAAAAACGGGGAAAGTTTCTACAGCTTGATTCGCAGATTAAAATATAAACTACCCAATTCCGGCTTTGCCATTAGCGGGAATTATCTCTCTCACTTCCTCCATTACGAGGGGGGGGGGGGGGAAACAGCTTTCTTGATCATCCCTGCCATGATTGGCGGGAGTGCTTTGCTGTGATTTCCTCTGTCCCGCTTGTTTTAACTCACTTCTGCTACTCCTAGTTCTGAGAAGTCCGGATTTCCCACAGCTGTAAGACGCGATGGGGAGAGGAAGGAGCGCCTAAGAGGCATTAGGCAAAGCGAAAGGCTGAATGGAGGTTGCGGACGCAAATGGCACCAGCAACAGGCGCTTCTTTCGGTGGGGGGGGGGGGACAGGAAGGGGGACGAGAGGAGGCCATTGACATGGGTGAGAATTGCCGGCTTCTCGAAGCTGCAGGGAGCATTGCCGGTCGCAGAACAGACAAAGTCGGGATCATCGTGGTGCCGTTTTTATCACGCCCCATTCCCATGCTCCTTATTACTGGAAGAGCACCAAACCTGCGCTCGCAACTGGCCTTGGAATGGGAAAATTGGAGCAAGAGGAGGAGGAGGAGGGTTTGACGCCACCGACAACACCGAATTTTGTGTCTTATCCTTAAAAAAAAAAACTCTCTTAGGCTTGCAAAAGCAACGCTTGTAGGTGTGGGTTGAAAATGTCTTGCACTCACACTTCGCTTTAATTAGCTGGAGAGGAAGAATCCAAAATGCCCCGGCGGGACTTCTAGAAGAGTTGTCTAGAAGAGGCTGAAAAACAAGAGGAGACTTCGCCAGTAATTCTTCGCTTACCCCACCCCACCCTTTTCAGTAAGTGCTATCCTTTCTCGCTTGGGTTTTCGCTTCCAATTCTGAGCTCGCAGCGCCTCCAGCCGCTTGATGTAAAATGTAACTCCTTCTCGTTTCAAATTCTGCTGCTGCTGCTGAATTTAATATAGTTTGTTTTTGGACGGGATTTCCAAAATGTAACAGACAGGGAAACAGTGTTTCCAAAAAGTAACAGGGGGACAGTATTTTCACAAAGTAACAGAGGGAAAGTATGAAATCGAATGAATTTATAGCGTGTGAAAGCTGCACAGGTGAGTGGCGGTAAACCCATTTGCTTTGAGGCTGCAAGAATCAAGTTATAAGAATGGCATTAAATGCAAGGCTACCTGGATCTCTAGAAGCTTCAGAGAATGGAAGCTTTTTCCAGTGGGCCTTGTGTCATGAAGAATTGATATTCTTAGGCTGGTTTTTAATTTCATTTTTAACTACCCGTTTTTTTATATCTGTTTCAATAGAATGAATGTGCTTTTACTGAGAGCAAATGAAAATCTGACATCCAGATCAGCTCAAGGGGAAACAGGGTCTTTGACATACTAAAGCCTTTGTGTATAAAAATTATTTTTTAAAAAATAAAACATGCTGCTGGGCTGAAATATTTTCAGTATGCTTCCTTGTAAACTTTTTAAAAACTAATCTAGAGTAATACTCTTTAGTACAATTTTGAGGACGTTTGAATAGAGATATGTAAGACAACATTGCTTTTCAAACTCATTTGCATTGTCCTTTTCTATTTGTTGCCAATATCCAATAATACATCTCAGAATATAAGCTTGTGTAATGGTATGTTACACAATAAATCAGTATTATTAAAATGCTGGTTCCCTTTGGAAAGAAGCGAAAAGAGCAAAATAGGTATTTCCACATAACTATGCAAATTATTATGGAAAAGTTATTCTCCCTTCTACTTTTACCAGAGGTATGTTAGGAATCCTAAGAGCAAAGGTTTCAATATTTGGGCTATCAGATATGGGCTGCAAAACTCAAGACAACCCTTGTAGTTAAAGATCTCTCTTTGTTGTTGCTATTTTATACAGTAATTACCTGGATGTTCACAGCTCAAATCTGATAGCCCTATTCAAAATGTTGTAAATATTAGTGTACATTTATCCACTGGACTTTGGTGAATTTATTCCTTTACACATTCAACTGAAATTTCCCATGCAAATGTGAAAATGTAATTTGAG